CATTCGAAACTACATTAAAAACAGTCTATAAAACTTGTTCTAAGCGGATTCTACAGTAACCCTATCTATTTGAGAAAATTTTTGAAAAAAATTTTTTGAATATTTTTTGGGACATGGAACTCGGAGGAATGTTTCTCTGCGAATACATGACTTATACTATAGCTCATTCGAAACTACATTAAAAACAGTCTATAAAATTTGTTCTAAGCGGATTCTACAATAACCCTATCTATTTGAGAAAATTTTTGAAAAAAATTTTTTGAATATTTTTTGGGACATGGAAGACTCAGAGGGGTGTTTCTCCGCGATTTCATGACATATTTGGATATACTAAAGCTCATTCGAAACTACATTAAAAACAGTCTATAAAACTTGTTCTAAGCTGATTCTAGAGAACCCTATCTATTTGAGAAAATTTTTGAAAAAAATTTTTTGAATATTTTTTGGTGGAAGACTCAGAAGGGTGTTTCTCCGCGAATACATGACATATTTGGATATACTATAGCTCATTCGAAACTACATTAAAAACAGTCTATAAAACTTGTTCTAAGCGGATTCTACAGTAACCCTATCTATTTGAGAAAATTTTTGAAAAAAATTTTTTGAATATTTTTTGGGACATGGAACTCGGAGGGGTGTTTCTCTGCGAATACATGACTTATATGGATATACTATAGCTCATTCGAAACTACATTAAAAACAGTCTATAAAACTTTTTCTAAGCTGATTCTAGAGTAACCCTATCTATTTGAGAAAATTTTTGAAAAAAATTTTTTGAATATTTTTTGGGACATGGAACTCGGAGGGGTGTTTCTCCGCGATTTCATGAGATATTTGGATATACTATAGCTCATTCGAAACTACATTAAAAACAGTCTATAAAACTTTTTCTAAGCTGATTCTAGAGTAACCCTATCTATTTGAGAAAATTTTTGAAAAAAATTTTTTGAATATTTTTTGGGACATGGAACTCAGAGGGGTGTTTCTCCGCGATTTCATGACATATTTGGATATACTAAAGCTCATTCGAAACTACATTAAAAACAGTCTATAAAACTTTTTCTAAGCTGATTCTAGAGTAACCCTATCTATTTGAGAAAATTTTTGAAAAAAATTTTTTGAATATTTTCTGGGACATGGAACTCGGAGGGGTGTTTCTCCGCGATTTCATGAGATATTTGGATATACTATAGCTCATTCGAAACTACATTAAAAACAGTCTATAAAATTTGTTCTAAGCGAATTCTACAGTAACCCTATCTATTTGATAAAATTTTTGAAAAAAATTTTTTGAATATTTTTTGGTGGAAGACTCAGAAGGGTGTTTCTCCGCGAATACATGACATATTTGGATATACTATAGCTCATTCTAAACTACATTAAAAACAGTCTATAAAACTTGTTCTAAGCTGATTCTAGAGAACCCTATCTATTTGAGAAAATTTTTGAAAAAAATTTTTTGAATATTTTTTGGTGGAAGACTCAGAAGGGTGTTTCTCTGCGAATACATGACATATTTGGATATACTATAGCTCATTCGAAACTACATTAAAAACAGTCTATAAAACTTGTTCTAAGCGGATTCTACAGTAACCCTATCTATTTGAGAAAATTTTTGAAAAAAATTTTTTGAATATTTTTTGGGACATGGAACTCGGAGGAATGTTTCTCTGCGAATACATGACTTATACTATAGCTCATTCGAAACTACATTAAAAACAGTCTATAAAATTTGTTCTAAGCGGATTCTACAATAACCCTATCTATTTGAGAAAATTTTTGAAAAAAATTTTTTGAATATTTTTTGGGACATGGAAGACTCAGAGGGGTGTTTCTCCGCGATTTCATGACATATTTGGATATACTAAAGCTCATTCGAAACTACATTAAAAACAGTCTATAAAACTTGTTCTAAGCTGATTCTAGAGAACCCTATCTATTTGAGAAAATTTTTGAAAAAAATTTTTTGAATATTTTTTGGTGGAAGACTCAGAAAAGTGTTTCTCCGCGAATACATGACATATTTGGATATACTATAGCTCATTCGAAACTACATTAAAAACAGTCTATAAAACTTTTTCTAAGCTGATTCTAGAGTAACCCTATCTATTTGAGAAAATTTTTGAAAAAAATTTTTTGAATATTTTTTGGGACATGGAACTCAGAGGGGTGTTTCTCCGCGATTTCATGACATATTTGGATATACTAAAGCTCATTCGAAACTACATTAAAAACAGTCTATAAAACTTTTTCTAAGCTGATTCTAGAGTAACCCTATCTATTTGAGAAAATTTTTGAAAAAAATTTTTTGAATATTTTTTGGGACATGGAACTCGGAGGGGTGTTTCTCCGCGATTTCATGAGATATTTGGATATACTATAGCTCATTCGAAACTACATTAAAAACAGTCTATAAAACTTGTTCTAAGCGGATTCTACAGTAACCCTATCTATTTGAGAAAATTTTTGAAAAAAATTTTTTGAATATTTTTTGGGACATGGAACTCGGAGGGGTGTTTCTCTGCGAATACATGACTTATATGGATATCTATAGCTCATTCGAAACTACATTAAAAACAGTCTATAAAACTTGTTCTAAGCGGATTCTACAGTAACCCTATCTATTTGAGAAAATTTTTGAAAAAAATTTTTTGAATATTTTTTGGGACATGGAACTCGGAGGGGTGTTTCTCTGCGAATACATGACTTATATGGATATACTATAGCTCATTCGAAACTACATTAAAAACAGTCTATAAAACTTTTTCTAAGCGGATTCTACAGTAACCCTATCTATTTGAGAAAATTTTTGAAAAAAATTTTTTGAATATTTTTTGGGACATGGAACTCGGAGGGGTGTTTCTCCGCGATTTCATGAGATATTTGGATATACTATAGCTCATTCGAAACTACATTAAAAACAGTCTATAAAACTTGTTCTAAGCGGATTCTACAGTAACCCTATCTATTTGAGAAAATTTTTGAAAAAAATTTTTTGAATATTTTTTGGGACATGGAACTCGGAGGAATGTTTCTCTGCGAATACATGACTTATACTATAGCTCATTCGAAACTACATTAAAAACAGTCTATAAAATTTGTTCTAAGCGGATTCTACAATAACCCTATCTATTTGAGAAAATTTTTGTAAAAAATTTTTTGAATATTTTTTGGTGGAAGACTCAGAAGGGTGTTTCTCCGCGAATACATGACATATTTGGATATACTATAGCTCATTCGAAACTACATTAAAAACAGTCTATAAAACTTGTTCTAAGCGGATTCTACAGTAACCCTATCATTTGAGAGTGACAAAAAATAAAATTTAATTAGAAGTATTACGGTAAGTGCACTCTATCGAGATTTTTTCAATTATATTTCTATATCATTCGAATAGTTTATATCAAGTTCATATCATTCAAATAAGCTCTTTCATCTAATTAAAAAAGGCGATTAAATTGCTCGTGAGCTAAGATATAGATCTTTAAAAGAAAATTAGAATATTGATGGTGAATTTAAATTTTTTAAAGTGAAATTTAAAAAAAGTAATTATGGAATATATGTTTGTATTGATGCTGCTCTTCAAAACGAGTCGATTCGATTGGTGATAAAATTAAAATTTTACATGAAACCAAAATTTTATAAGAAATTTTCGAAAAAGAGAATAAAAATATGTTCAATATTTTAACTAAATTATGAAAAAAAATTGTTAATTTTTAAACGATAATAAACTAGAATATCATCATTCTAAGTTATCAAAAAGTGTTGCCATTGTAATTTCAAAATTAACAGAATTTGCAAATTTTTTAATCCACTCATTTGCTTCTGTATTTTCTGCCAATTTCTTATAAATAAAACTATAAAATTGTAAAATATTTGCTGTTAAGTTTTTTGGTTCTGAAGCAGAACAAGTTGCTTTTAATTGGGTTAAGGCTTCATTACTTATTGAAATGAAATTTAATTTTTCCGAGTCTGAAATGCTAGAAACAGGAATGATAAATTTATTTTGAATCAGTTCAATTATGTGATGACATTTTGAATTTGTTTGGTAGGTGGAAGTTGATGGACTTAAATTTAAATTTTATTTTTAATAATAACTATCAAATCTTATCTTGTTCAGATATGGATATTAATTTTTCTATTGAGTTTAATAAAATTTTAGTTAATTTTTCTGTTTCATCTTCCAACTGATTTCCAATTCTATCAAACCGAAATATATTAAAAATTAATAATTTGTCCATATAATTGCCATTAAATTGAGATATACTCATTTTTATTATATGAAAAAATAAATGGAGTTGATTGTTGTTCCTCAAAATCTGTCAAAAAATGTTTTTGTTTAATTAATAAACTCGTATTTAGGTGAGGCTCAAAGCTAAAAAATGAGGGGTACCTTAAATAGGGGTACCTTAAACTTATGAGATATGCCTTGAAAATCGGTTAAGCATACACTACTTGCCCAACCAAATTTAAAAAATAAAAGATAAGTGTCTGATATTGGTGTTATACTATAAGGATTTTCGGCTATATTATGTAATTCTTACATAATTATGTATTTCTTCTTCTAGCGGTATCATTAAAGCATTTTGTAACCAATCAGCTGTGTAGATATAAGTAAATCCAGAAGAAATACTTGAATTGCCCAAGTTGATACTTTCAAAATATTTAATACGTTTCTCACCTCCCTTATCAAACAAATAAACATAATGTGATAGTAAAAAGTAAAAGAAGAGTTTTATGCGTAATTCTATTGGCAAATAAAGGGTTTCCAAAAATGTCTAAAATTAAAATCATAAAAATAAATTTAGCTAGAATAAATGTAGAAGAGGGCAATTAGGAAGTGTCTGGTAATTTAATTTTAATTTTTCCCTTTGACGGAAAAATTTATTTTAAAAATTAAAAATTAATTTTCCCCTTAAAATTTTTCACTTAATTTCCCCTCTCTATTTGACATCAACCCTAATTTCACCCTATTCCTTCAGCTTTCCTCTGTTATATAAAACAGTAAATAACCTCCATTTTAGCTTCTATATTCGCTAGATCAATTTTTATTATTTTTTCCAAAGAAATAAACTCTGAAAAAACTGGACTTCCCATAAATTCTTCCAGATTTTCATTAATTATCTTTATATAAGAAAATTCTTCGAAACTCATTTCATTCCGCAGATTATTTGAAAAATTCCGGTCAGTTTCTGTAAATTAAGAGTTCTTGTAGTTATTTTACCTGTTATAAAATGATATTTGATTCTTTGATTCTTCTTAGGGTTCCGAGGCCCATTAAAATATTTTTAGACTTTATTCAATTCTCGTTTTCTTTGGAATTTGTGGTTAGTTACAGTATATGATCTATTAATTAACACTCTCTATAATTACTCTCTCCAACGAGAGGTTGAAAAAATAATTACCCAGGGTAATTATTATATCATATAAGGTATAGCATAAAATGTGGTGTCCCGTTAATCTTGATCTCCTTTCGTTCTCAAAGATAAATATTGGTTCCTTATCAATTTATTACCAGTAACTTCCAGTTGCAATATTATTTTTACTAAAATTGATGCAATTTTTTTTGTGACTTTGGTACTAAATTTTGTTTCACCATATTCCAAATCTTTAATTATTCTCATTAATTCGAAAACTTTATTTTTAGCCTGTTCCCAAGGCAAATCGTTTTCCTTGGACATTGGGACCAACTGTTTCAATAAATCCTCAATAGTTTCCATAAATCCAAACTCCGTTAATTTATTTTCTTGATGGCTTTTAGTGTACAGTACTTCATAATTCGCTAAACTGTTTATGAGGTTAAGAATTCTTTCTGCAAGATTATTTCCATGTTTTTCAATTAATGCCGTTCGCTCATCAGCACTCTTTATCTGACGTAAAAGATGAAATCTTATAGTATTAACAGGAACTTTAGCCCAAACACATGCAAGTAAAACAATTCGAAATCGAAAAACAATTGGGACGTTTAAAAGATTTTTAAATTCAGTTTCCATTTTTTGAATAAATTCTCTAGCATTTGAAGGAGATAGATTGTCAAGAATTGTTGGGATATGTGCAGAATTGGAAATATTTAAATAAAAAATTAAATAAATTAAAATAAATTTCCAATTCATCTAAAATTATTTTTAAAAAATTAAAGCGATTTTAAAATTAAAATAAATAAAATAATAAGTAAAAATTAATTAAATGCACTTTTTCCACTAATTAATAAAGCTTTTTAAGCTTCACATGAATTCACGTGAAATAATAAAAATAAATAAAGTAAATTTTGAAATAATATTTCATAAAAGCCGACAAAAAGAAATTCTAAAGTGCATAGACATTTAATAATTTTGAAATTTTTATTTAAAAATAATTGCACTTTATTGCGATTTCTTCAATTATAATTAGAAATAAGTATAACTTATAGTTGAAGATAATCTAGAATTAGATAAGCTTAAAAATATTCTTGAAATTAAATATTGAAAAGCAGAAATTAAAATTATAAAAGAATTTCAAGCAGCTATAATTAAGTTAGAGTAGGTCGAGGTCAAGGCCTCGCCTAGGCCGAGGTCCTCGCTCATTTTTAAACCTCGACCTCGATTTTGCTGAACTTGGGTCTTGGAATCTCGTCTCATTCCACACTAAGAACCTCGGACCTCGGCCAAAATTTACTCCTCTATCTCGACCATGGCTTTACCAGCCTCGGTAATCATCTGTCTTGTTTTCTCAAAAAACCTCGACCTAACCTACATTAAATTAAAAAATAAGGTGATTTTTTAAATTAATAAAAAGGTATTGATAAGAATTTAAAAATATTTCAAACATTGAATTATGGAGCAAAATTTATAAATAAATTACTTTATTTAATAATTATTTTAGAAAAAATTTTTTTAGTTCTAAAAATGGATATTTATTTTATTAAAGTAATATTTAACGAAGTATTAACTTCAATTAATCCAAATATTTTAATATTTTTATCCTTAACAACATTATCATTTTCATTATTTCTTAATTTAAATTTATTTAATATTTTATTTATTGTGTTTTCATTAATTTTGTTATCTTCCAAATTTGTTAGAATATGTTTACTGACAATGAGGAGGGATATAAGGTTTCATTTCTTAAATCAAAAAAGGCATACTAACTATCACGAAATGCAGCCCTCGCACGGCGGGACTGCAGCCAGTCGGCCTACATTTTGGGAAGCGTTTCGACTCGGGTTTCGCCCTCTCCGCTAAACTCCTCGGCCTTTGGCCTCGGAGTGCTAATTAAAGATGATAATGGGATAATAAAACAGATATTTTATAATAACAGTTCGAATTTAATTTAAAAAATCCATATTTAGTGGCTACCTTCGCCTCAAAAAATTGCAAAATCAAATGGAAAAACAATGGAAATATGACAAATCTATTGGAAATATTTTTGAAAATACAGTTGATAGACATCCTGAGAAGGATTGTATAGTAGAAGCTGAAAGTGGGAGAAAAATTTCGTTTAAAGAATTAAATGAATTGGCTAATAAATTTGGGAATTATTTCAATGAGAAGGTTAAAAATAAATTTAAATAGCCTAAATCTTGAATTCAAGTTAGTTGATGATAATTCTTTGAATAATTCGACGGATACAATTGGTATTTTGTTGGAAAATCGTATAGAATTTGTAGCTATATGGCTTGGTTTGAGTAAAATTGGAGTAATTACTAGTTGGATTAACACACAATTGCGAGGACAATCTCTGTCTCATTCAATTAATATAGTTAATTGTAATGCGATTATAACTTCGAAAATATTTGTTGAAGGTTATATCTGATTAAATTTTACTAGAAATCATTAGAAAATATAATAAATAACAGAAAGATCTCGATTTTAGATATTCCCGAGGATTGGCAGAATGAAAAATTGTACCTAAAATGAGGTGTATAAGCAAGAGGGGCTAGTTAATAATAACTGAAAGTTTTTCAATTTTGAAACTAGCGTAAAATTACCCTGGGTAATAAAATTATCCGGGTACTTATTCCTTTAATTATTTTTATGGTATGATTATTTTTTCAATCTCTAGATGCAGGAGTATTTAATAGGGACTTGGGTAATAGTACATATATGTATTAGAAATATATTTCAAATAAATATAGGTAATTTATTTCGATTTATCAATTATAATATTTTAAAGAATTAAAGAATGCAATAGACAATAAATTACTAAATTCTGGCATTAAAATTTTTATATTTAATAATCAAAATGATATAAACATTAACGAAGATAGGAACATAATTTTAATAAATAATAATGAATTAAACAACAGATCAAAACCTATTACAAAAAAGGAGATTAGATTTCAAAGTATTTTATAAAATTAATTTAAAAATCTTTAGAGATAATCTTTGAAGATATTCTTGCATATTTATATACTAGTGGCACAACAGGACAGCCTAAAGCTGTGATTATTAGACATTATCGTTATTATTTTATGGGTATAGCTGGTCCTATAGTTTTTGATATAAACTCGAATGATATTTTATATATAACTCTACCTATGTATCATGGAATGGCTGGAATTGCTGGTGTTGGACAAATGATTGTTAATGGTAACTCTTAATTAAGAAAGAGGTAAGGGCCGAAGGTCGATATACCTAAATGAAGAGATCTGGATTGACTGTTCTGTTCGGGTTCGGATATCCGAAGATATCTTTCATGGATAAGAAATCTAAAATTTAATTGAATTTAAAATTTAATAGGCTGTACAATTGTAATACGTCAAAAATTCTCTGCTTCTCATTTTTGGAATGATTGTCAAAAATTTAATTGTACAATAGCTATTTATATCGGAGAAATTTGTCGTTATCTTATCACACAACCAAAAAATTCTAAAGACGATAAAAACCACAAAATAAGAATGTTTTGTGGTCTTGGACTCCGTCCAACGATTTGGGAAGAATTTACCCAGAGATTTGGAATTAGAAAAATAGCTGAATTATATGGTAGTATTAAAAAAAGTTATATATAAAAATTCTAAATAGGGGCAACAGAAGGAAATGCAACTTGTGTAAATATAGACAATAAAGTTGGGGTCATTGGGTTTTTACCCATCTATACTTATTTTATGAAAACAACATCCATTAGAATTGTTAAGGTATTTTGAATATAAATAATAAAACTAAAAATTGAATTTTGGACCTTATTATATTATATGATACACAATTAGATCGTAGAATAGTGGGGGATAGTATCTTCCATAGTATCCGTTTTTTTCCCCTTATTATCCGTTTTTTTCCCCTTTCCGCTCCGACTTCTATTTCTTTCCGTTTATAAACCGCCTTCCGCAGGGCCCAATCCCTGAATAGTACCTTGTAATGTGAACATGTTTAAGCTGTTTCACCGATCAAAAGTTTAAAATATCAATCATAAATTGTGATATACCTATATGTATGTATAATATTTAGTGTATCTTTCAAACTCAACAAAATTTGAAATTGAGTTCACCTCTTAAATAAATTAAAAGGTAGACCCAATAACACGAGAATATCTGAGAAAACCAAACGGTCTTTGCCAAATTTGCAAACCTGGCGAGGTTGGGGAAATTGTTGGAATGATAAGAAAAGACAACCCAACACGTCGATTTGAAGGTTATTTAGACAAACAGGAAACTGATAAGAAAATTATAAAAAATGTGGAGGTTGAAGGGGATTGTGCTTTTGCCAGTGGGGATTTAATATATTGGGATACTTTTGGATATTTACACTTTAAGGTAACTTTAAAGTTCAAAAATTTTTTCAAAAGTTCAAAGGACCGTCTAGGAGATACATTTCGCTGTTGTGGAGAGAATGTAAGCACAACAGAAGTAGAAAATGTACTTCAAGGAATTAAAGGAATAGAAGAGCTGGCTGTATATGGAATTGAAATGGAAGGAAAGGAGGGGAAACATGGAGTGTGTTCTATAGTTTTGAATAAATTTGTGGAAGATAATGTAAAAATAATCGTTTAATTTTGAACAGAAAAGTACAAATTTCAGCAAATACTGGACCAAATTGGAAGGAAATTTAAAGAAAATTTGCCAGAATATGCAATCCCAAAATTTATCAAATTTTGTGAGGAACTTGAAAAGACTGGCACATTTAAACTTAGAAAAGGTGAAATGAGACGAAATGATTTATTTAGCAGAAAAGAAAATTTGTTTGTTTGGAATAGAAGTTTAAAAAAATATATGGAATTTAATTAACATTATTTCAAAGTTGATTAGGGATTTTTCAATAAATTCTGAGAATTATTAAAAAGAGTAGTAGTTTTTAATATGAGATGCTGCGAAGTGACGTAGCTCGATAAAAAGAGATATCATCTAAGGGATTTTAGTTATTCAAAAAAGAATTAAAATTTTATCTAAAAAAGGGCTGCAGAGATTTTTAAAGTCATTTATTTTTATATTGAAACTTGGACTTTCCAGAATCATTCCAGAATATTTTTTTCCAGATACATTTTAGAATATTTCTTATTCGAAATTATTTGAACGCCTGTTTTTCCCGGAATTATCAAAAGTTTTTTAATATTTATTAAAAAATATATTCACAAAATTTCTATTACTGATTTTCTTTTCTTCAGAAATTTATAGATTTGTATTCATCAAACAATTAAACCCACCATTCAGGTTCTCCAACATTAATGCCACCATTCAGGTTCTCCAGGGGTTAAATGTGTTGGATGTATATGTGCTAACCTTAAATATATAAATCGTTTATATCAGCCAATGTTTTAGTGATTAGATTCAGAGGAATATAACCATCATAAAAAGACACAGACTAACTCACACCCAGTCTATAGAATCCTATTTTATGTTCATCTTAATTAATTATAATTTCTTACATATAAGGACAGAGAATTAACTATAAAATTACAAACCAAGGGGTTTTGTAAACATCATGCGGTGGATAACGGCTGTGTGGTATATGATAAGTTCCTCCAAGTACTTCACTGTATTTGTAGTGAGGAGAATGCCAATGGCGCGCAAACAAAGGGCGATAATCTAATTGTTGCCCATAGGCTCCGTATCCATGGTAGCTTCCATACATTTTTATTTATTTTTTAATTCGAAGGAATTTGAACGAACACAGATTTATTTATTTTTTAAAGTGATCTTTCTTAAATCAATTTATGTTCGATCGAAAAAAGAGCACCTAGCAACTGTTATTAAATTTTTAAACTTAAGTTTAGAAGAACGAATATTTTTCTTTTATTTTTTTTCTGGAAAATGAAAAATAAAATTTAATTTTTGGTTAGTTAATCACAAAATTTATTTAAAAATTAAAAATAATAATTTTAAAAAATTCAAAAAATTCCATTAACACAGATGACATATTAATCCACACGTATCACGCCTTGTCTGTTCCGGGTAAAACAAATTATCGCAATAGCCGTTAGCTGCCCAAAAGACACAACTTTAAAATAATTTTTATTAAAATTAATAAAATTTTTATTTTATACTTTGGATGTCGATTAATACAGTTGAGGTTATAACCAGCATTTCGGCACGTTTCAGGACAATTATCTTTCATTAATTGTTGATACATCTATGAAAATTATAGAAAATTGCGTTGTTAGGAGTTTGATATATTTAAAATAAAATAGAAATTAGAGATTGGCCAAAGGGCTCGTTCGATATTCGATATAATATATCGAAAAAAATCGTATCGAACCGAACTCTAGTAGAAATAAGGAGCTGGATGTTATCGTTATTTAGTGCCGGATTCTATCAAAAATTTGGACGTAAACTTACATTATTAGCACATAATTCACGATGTAATTCGCAATTTCTTCCTCGATTATATCCAATACCTTAAATTAAAATCAAGATCAACACTGAATTGTCAATACTTCTTAGAGTAAATTACAAAACTATTTGTAATTTTAAATTTTTAACTAGTATTATGTGGTTTTTACTAAAATTATTAAAAATCAGATACGGAATGCTATAATAAAAATATACTATTAGAAATTAATGATGCAGAAAAATTCCTAAAATTTTTTAAAATAAAATAGAAAATATTTTATTTTATTATTTATTATTTAAGCCAAAATTATATAAAATTTATTTTATGATTACTGCTCAACCTAATAAGTTAAACAATTATTTTACCTCTAGTAGTAGTCATGTTATAGCTCCGAGTTGTACTATAAGGTATTGGAGTGACAATCAATTTTGGATCTGAAGTAGGCAACAAACAAACACCCGATTTTTGATCGGTAGTTTTATATTTGGCACAAGTTTCTTTTGAAGAGCCAGTACTTCCTTGAAGACAATCCTGGTCCTTGTCACATATTGCTAAATTCTTGTTATATTTATTTTTTAATTTAAAATTAATAGCCAGACCCCGACCATGTTCCAAATGATTTCCTCAATTATATCTGACCCGTACCTCGCCCCGAAATATTTTTGAAAACCCCGTACCCCGACGGTACTCTAATTCAAAATTAAAAACAGACCAAAAGATCCAACCCTTTGAGTCGTTACGCATTTATTATTTGCACACAACGTTGAGGGTAAACAATCAGAATGTTTATCGCATGCAGAACCGGCAGCTTCTAATATTCGGAAAAAATAAAAATATATTTAATTCGACTAGTTTAATCACTTCTTTGAGGGAATTCATCAACACATAAACCGTTTCGGCATTCAAGTCCATTACAATCCGTGTTGGTTCTGCATGAGGGTGGAGGACATCCATATAAATTATTTCTGTCACAGCTTGACTTTAAATAATTTGGAAATTATTTTGAAAAGGTATTTAATTATTTACATGGCTAGGATCAGCACATTCGCCATTAATACAAGCTAAAATTGGGTAATTTAAAAATTATTTTTTGGTTATTACGGCATATTTAGTGGCCGTTTTTTAATTTTAGGATTGTGTTCTTAATAATTTTTTATTATATTAATGATCATTCGTCAGTGTATTTTCTAGTAAATTACAAAATTTAGGCAATGAATTGGTTATTGGTTAGATATTCAGGGTAAAATACAAGGAGGCATTCAGGGGGAAAAATTAAGCATTAAATCTTCTATATTTTTGATAATTTATTTTTATTTTAACCCTAAAAATTTATTTATTTTTATGTTTTTAATTAAAACTAAATTAATTTCCTTATGTTTCTTAATGTTTAAACTTTTTTCAATATTTTTTAAAATATTTTATTCAAAATTTAACATTAAATAATATTAATTATATATTATGTTAGAAATATTTTTTCAATAAATAATTATTATGTGTTGCTTTCTTTATTATTTGATTAAAAAAATATTTTTTAACGTAACAATTTTCTGAAATTTTTTTGTTCATTTAATTTAACAAAACTTATAAATTTCTGTTTATTTTTAATGGAAAATAAACAAAAATTAATTAATAATTAGTTAATAAATAATTTATAATAATTATTTTTTTATAAAATTAATTATTACAATTAATTTAAAAAATTTATCAAGTGTAAATTTATTTTTTAAGGTTAATAATTTTTGATTCTCCATAAATCAGTTTTTAAATCTTTAATTTAATTTCTGGTACAATTTTTCCAATTTTTAATTTCAATTTTGCGAGATCTTTGAATTTTTTAAATTTTATTTCAAAATAAATAATTGAGTATTAAACATCGGTTCTAATTTAATTTTTGTTAATGTATCAAAATTTGTTTATTTCACCCCTTTTTTATTTTATAATTAGTTTTATAATTTTTATTTTTTGACAAAAAATATTTTTTTTTAAATTTTCTTACGCCAAGTTCTGTCCATTTCCACCAATTTTGGAGTAGACACAATTAAAATAAATAAAATAATAATAAACATAATACAAGTCATTTTATTAATTATTAATTTATTTTTCTATTAAATAAAGGCAGCAAGCACTACGCTAAAGAAATTTTCTTACAAATTTAATTATGTATTTTTTAAATAACAAAAGTTGTAAAAAAATTTAAACAAAATTAAATATTAAAAAAATATTTAATGTCTTTAAATTTGATCTTTTTGTGGTTTAATTTATTTAAAATTAAAAAAAAATTTTTATAATATTAAAAAAATATAAATCTAAAATGTCAATAATTTTTTTTCAAAAAAATAATTTTTTAAAATACCTGGAATTTATTTAAAATAAAATTTTAGAGTTTTAAGCATTTAAAATAATTTACTTTTTTTTAATTTTAAACACCTGCCAAAACTCTTTTTTGGAATTATTATTTTAATTATTTTTATTCCTCCAATTTTGTCTACTTTTTTAAAATTAAATTTAAAAGTGTTGAATGTTTTTCTAAATTTTTTATTTATTTACTTTTCTATTTTTAAAGGTGAAAATGACAAAAATAAATAAAAAGTGCAAGAGAATAATTAATTTAAATTTAGAATTAAAAAATATTTTTTTAAATAAAAATAAACTTTTTTAAAAATATAGATTGATTTATTTTAGAATATGTATATATTCGGATCAGGGCTGATCGCATTAAAAATTTTATTCTTTTCGAAACGAATCGAAATGGAAATAAGGGCACGAAAAGTGAAACGGAATTAAATTTTGATTAGCCTGGATATTGATTCCACGATACCTTCAACACAGGATTTTTCTTCCCAAATATTTCCCCCTTTGTCATTTCCGAACATCTATGATACTCCAGTTTAACGATAGATTTTATGGTAATTGAATCAAACTATCAAAGTTACAGAGTCAATTATCAAGCATTATAATTAATTCCTATAATTCCTACAATTTCCACTAAATTTAACTTTCAATGGATCGCCAAAATTATGAAAAGTCTGAAATTATTTATAGAAAATCTGATACCAGTTATTAAAATTATTATTAATCCAATCTAGACAGTTAATATTTCTGGAAGTTCAATTTTTGGAATTTATAAATTTAATTTCCTATATCCCTATAATAAATTTAACGTATAATTATATCTATTATTTTCATCATTAAGGCAGTAGTAAAATAATTTTTATTTGTTTCT